AAACAGCACTGTGGGTCATGTGGACATGGACCAGACTCTTTAATTAATTAATTAATTAACTTTGATGGTCTCTTTTGGGCCACCAAGCCTGCTCAACCCACCCAATGCCAACAACAACAACAACAACAACAAATCCACTGATTTGGGGGTGACTCTTTTTGTCTCCAAAGCAGCCAAATTGGCCTCCAGAAACCTCCAAATCCTTTCTAAAAAAAAAAAAAAAAGGTGAAAACTGGCCAAAATAATACCAAGAATGATATCATTTCCCTTGTCCCTGAATGTGATGGTGTACTCTGTGGCTCCCTCAGAGTTTCCCTGCTCTAAAACCAGGCACACAGAGAATGTACATGTTGTTTCAAGGGTATGATTATGACAGTATATTTATTTCCCTTAAGACCCTTCTAGCTAAATGCCGACTGAATGGTTTGCACCTAATGGAAGTCAAAGGTGTTACGATGGCATATCTAATACAGATAGACAGTGCGCAAATATCTCATTTTTTATAAGAATGCTCTTTGTATTTAGATTAATACCAAAAAAGCAGTAAAGACGGTTCTCTTCCAGCAGGCCTTCCCTGAATAACATCTTGGCCCAAAGAAAAGTATAAGGAGATGACAATGATTCCAGCTCTTTTGTTACTAAGCTGCTATTTATTTGTACTGTATTGTTTGCTTTTATTTTGTATTTTAATCTTGTTATAGTTTAATATATTTTTAAGGGGTGGGTGGGTTAGGGAAGGGGTTGTTTGACTGTTTTAACTTGTAATGTTGTTTTAATCTGCTGTACGCCACTTCGATTGTGCTGCAAAGAGGCGGCATAAAAATAAAATTATTATTATTATTATTATTAAGAATTCAATAGCTTGACTCTCTTACTGTTCATATTATCGTGGCCCCTTGGTATCGATTGGGGTTTGCTTCCAGGACATCTGCCCCCTTGGATACCCAAATCAGAGGATGCTCAAGTCCTATTAAATACAATGGCATAGTGTAATGGTATCCCCTTAAATAAAATAGAAAAATCAAGGTTTGCTTTGGGAATTTGTATTATTTTTCAATATTTTCAAGCCATGGATAGTTGAATCTGTGGATAAAAAAAATTGGTGGGTATGGAGACTGTCCAGATGCTATCCCCTCCAAAAAAACTGGCATTTTTATTAGCAGAAACTATTATGTGTCCTGTCGAACAGTCAAGTTAGCCATGATAAATAGAGATGCTTTTAACGTATTTGGGACAAGACAGAATCTCAGACCTACTTTGCATGTTTATCTTACCAGTTCAACTATTTTATCTTAATTGTGTGTGAATATGAGATTGGTTTGCTTTTATGGTTGTATTTATTGTTTTTATCATCATTATTATTTATTTTATTTATATGCTGCCTTTCTCTCAGAATGAGACCCAAGGTGGCTCATAGAAGAAGCCAATTAAAATCTACCAGAGCAATTTCCATTTCATATAAGGGACACTATTTTACTATGCCATTGTATTTAATGGGAGTTGAGCATCCATGGATTTTGGCATCCACAAGGGTTCCTGAAACCAAACCCCAGGGGATACCAAGGGCCCATTGTATGGCTATTCCTTAACCCTTGCCCAATGGCTGGGGTTGGTGGGAATGGTAGTCCAAAACATATCGAGGCACCGACTTAGTTATCCTGCCTGAGGTCAGCCATGAGCTGGGATTCGAATCCTTATCTCCATAGTCACAGTCTAGCACTCAAACCACTGTGCCACACTGGCTTGTGTGCTGAGTGTAGATCTGGTTTATTTCTCAGATCCAGGGCTAGTACCCTCAGCTCTTCCTCTTCCATGGACCCCCTTGGCAAGAGAACCAGCATGTGGCAGTCTATAGGATTGTTCTGTTCAGCACAGTTTCATTGGTCTTATCTGGCATTTTGCATGTGCCAACACTGGAAAGTGGGCAGGGGAAACCAGCATAACAGTATTGAAGGGGTTTACATCTGTAGCCCTAGGACAACTGGGCAATGGGCCCTTCAGAAGGCATTCCCAGCTCTGATGCCAGACTTCCGGGATTCTCTGGATGGTTTACAGGTCAGAAAGGGTTCTGGCTCCCAACTGTTTAGCACAGCAGTGGGGAAACTGTGGCCCCATACCATGGATTGTGGGCCAATGTCTTCTCCTTCCAATTTTTTTCGGTGGGTGGGGGAACACCCCAAATGGTCCATCCACACTCCTGAAGGACTCCAAGGAGGGTGGATTTCCTTAATCTGTACTCCACCCCACCTTCCAGGAAATCCCTGGAAAGTCAGGCAGTTGCTTCTAGTTGTAACTTTCAGCCAAAACTGTCGCAGTCACAGAATTGTCTACCCCTGGTTTAGTAACGGTAGTGACTAAAAGGTTGCCCTTCCTCCTCCAAATTTAGTAGATCAAAAGGCAGAACTTGGTGGAAAGGGCAGTCACGGAGAGAGAGTGGTGGTACAGAAAGGGTGCCCGTTGACTACTCATCTTTTTGTTTTATGTGTGGCCTCATCTTTTTTTCTAAAGGAGGAAAAGGCTGCAAAACAAGGGAAGAAGAATCACATGAGCTTGGCTCGTGGAGGACAAGAGCACCATTGTACTGCCTACCTTCCCCCTGATATAAGAAACCATCTGCTCACCAGCCCATATCTCCTGGAAATTGAAATTGAAAATCAGGCAGGTGCTTCTAGTTGTACCTTTCTAGTTCTAGTGGTACACCTGTCACAGCAAAGGGAAAAAAGAAGCAGAAGAAGAAAGTATTGATTAGTTAGAGAGAGACTGGAGGAGAGGTAAGAGAGGCAGAGTAAGATGGCCATCACATTTTCTGTCCATCTTAAATGGCACATTATGCCACCAGGCGCTGCCTTCGGTGTTCAGAGTATTCTGGCTCCTGGATTCCCCTTATTACCTCCACATTTGGTAGCAATGCTGGGTAGATGTCTACACACGTTTCTCATTGTGCCACCTGCCACTGATGCCTCTAGCGCAACTCACCCCTTTTGAGGTCAGAAACGAGGTGCACAATGTCGATCCCATGGCTGGCACCTCATTGTGACTTCAGGGGCAGAGACCTGTGCCAGTGGAGGCAGCTCCAGGTGGCTCAGTGGGACACATGTGTAAACGGCCCCTTGACATTGCTATGCCATGTTTTGGAATTTCCTGCCAAATTTTACAAAACAATTGAGGCAGGGATAGGGTGGATACGGTGCAGAGGTGGCCTTTCCTCATGAAGAGAGTCCTCACCCAAATCAGGGATTTGGCCCTGCGTTGTGTATGTAGACAGGTCATGGTGAGGGCAGGGGGAACTGGTTTAATTATCCCCTATAGACATATCCTAAAACACAAAGGGGCTCTGATCTCCATGTCCAAACTGCAGTGATTGAAAAGTTGAATGATTTTCCCATTGAATCCTCTTTCTTACCAGGCAGGGTATAGCCAGTCGATATGCCCATGTGAAAAATGAACAGAAGAAGCAAGAACTCTAAGAGAGCCATGGTCCAATCGCTCCAAACTATGTTTCAGAAGGAGCTTGAGAAACAGCAAATGCCAAACAGTTGTGGCAGCTGGGCAGACTGCTAGAGTCACTCCCACATCACAAAGGACTTTTAGCTTGGCCAGGAGAGGATCTCACTCTGGCCATTGGCTGCAGCTAAATCAAGGCTACAGATAAAGGCTCATTGTGACATGTCTTGTTGAGTGGATGTTGCAAATTTAAATTATCAGTTGTGAGAAGCTTTCCTGCAACTTCCCTTTTTTCTTAACAACAGACATGCAAAAGGTAAACCCATTTCAAAAGAGAATTGTCCCTCATCCACAACCAGTTCTTTGTCCCTCATCCACAACCTTCTTCAGAGAATATGAAGCTCTCAATACTTCCAGCTAATGATCTAGAGCAGGGGTAGGCAACCTTTTTGAGCCGGGGGTCGGGTTGCTGTCCCTCAGACAATTGGGGGACTGAAGCACCAAAAATAAATAAATGAATAAATAAATAAAAATAAAAATTTAAAAAACAAATTAAAAAATATGCATGCACACACTCTCAACCCCAGAAATGTCATGGCAAAACTGCTGTGGAGATTTTGCCAAGAAAACCCCAAGAACAAGTAATAACAACAATAATCAATATCATTATGGCGGTGATGGCGGGTGGCGGCAGGACCAGCCTGGGGCCGGTCCAAAGGCCTTGGGGGTCGCATCCGGCCCCCAGGCCTTAGGTTGCCTACTCCTGATCTAGTGGGAGGAGGAGAGAGAAACTAAAACAGTTTAAAAGAAGCTCAAAAAGTGGGGTGCCAGAAGATGATTGAAACAGTTGGAAGATATGGGATTCCTGCACTAGATGGTTTTCCAGGTCCCTTCCACCTGTATGATTCTTTGATTCTCCTCCTCCCATCTTTTTCCAGCACTTCTAAAACCAATTATTCCTCTTTGTTTGGGGGCCCAGAATACACTAGAAAAGTCTTATGGCTGTCATGGTACCACCCAAGTCCAACAAGACGACCAAGAAGCAACATGGAAACTCAAGCCCAAGCCCAGGAGAGCAACAGCACATGAGTTTGGGGGTCTGTTAGATAGTTTAATGTGTGATATGTGACTGCTGTAAAATCTATCATATGTTGTTTGTTAGCAGTAGTGCTACTGGGGAGTGCGAGGTGTGTGGCCTGCCCTGGGTGACATCCCAGAAGGGGGTGACACCCAATTTGCCCCTGTGTCCCCCGTGGGCACTACTTCAGCCCATGCGGGAACTCCTTGGGGCCACGGAGACACTGCTTTGGCCCACATGGGTCATGTTTTGGCCTGCGTGGGTGTTCCTCTGGCCCACGTGGGCACTAGTGCACCGCTCCAGCCTTCGTGGGGCCTGTTGTGGCACGCGCAGGCACTGATTTGCCGTTCCAGCCTGTGTGAGTACCCTCTCTGGGATATTTTGGCCTTGCACGGGCATTCCCCAATCCTGGAAGCTGGAAGTCCTGCCCCCCAGAAATCCCCCCCCCCCCGACTGGGTGTCACCCAGTGATGAGATGCTACTGTTTGTTAGCAGCGCATGGCATCTACGCTTGAACCTCACTGCTTTTCATACTGGAAGCCTCCTTAGCTATCGACCATTATAGTAGACCAGAATGACTTCACGTCCACCTGCTAACAGTGTTTATGATGTCATGCATAGGGCTGCAGCTACACCGCAGAATTAATACAGTGTGATACCACTTTTAACTGCCATGGCTCGACACTATGGAATTCTGGGATTTGTAGTTTTGTGAGAGATTTAGCCTTCCCTGTCAGCATGCTGTGGTGCCACACCAAACTATAAACCCCAGGATTCCCTAGGATGGAGCTATGACAGATGTAGTGATGTCAAATTGCATTTATTTTATGCTGTGGCAACAGGCTTACTAAGGTCTGGGACCATCCATGCCATCCCCAGGAACCTAGAGGAACTTGGCTCCCATTACCAAATGTAAATAGACGCTTGCTCCCTTTTATGGGAGCAAAGACAACTTTTCCGTCCTCCTGCCCCCCCCCCCCCCCCCCCCCCCGTTATTTTCAGCCCAGGGGAGACATATTTTGCATTGCAGCCAAAATAACAGTCTTGTGCTACCTTCATCATATTTGGCATAAACTCTCCTGTGCGGCAGCGTGCACAGGGGGGTTGCGCGCGGAGGAGGAGGGTGTACGCGTGCACACCGCCATTTCCGCCTCCCCCTCGGCCCAGCCGAGACCTGGGCGACGGGAGACCGGCCCAGGTCTCAAAAAGGTTGCCTGTCCCTGCTGTAGGTGCTGGCCTACAGGCTCTGCTTTTTGTGAAGCTAAATTCTCATCTCCCGTCTCTGTAATCAAATCAACTAAGAAGATTATTGCACACTTAAATAAGCTGGTTTACCTGATCTGGCTTAAAAATAAATGCGGGTGGCATCTGGACCCTATTGCAAGGGTTTTGCTACTGAAATTGCCACTCGGGATCATCCCAGAGCCATCTCCACACCTGGAGCTGCTCCGGTAACCATTTTCTCAAGCTGAAAAATTCTAGGCTTGGAAAAGAGCTGTGTTGAGTGGCTCTAGGAGCAGGGATGGCCCCACAATGGTCTCAGGTGGTGATTTCAGTGACAAAACCCTTGCAATAGGGTCCGGACACTGCCTGCATTTATTTTTAAGCTGGATCAGGTAAACCAGTTTATTTAAGTGTCTGATAAGCTCCTGAGTCTCTGACTTGCAGCTTGAGTGCTGTTGTAGTTGGACTACGTGAACTAGATCCCCTTCTTTTGTTGTTCTTAGGTGAAGTTGAGCATTCAGGAAACTTGTGTCTCAGTGGTCCAGCTGAAGGACAATTAATAATAATAATAATAATAATAATAATAATAATAATAATAATAATAATAATTTATATCCCACCCCTTTGAGATCAATCGGGGCGGCTAACAACAATAAAAAAATACAATATAAAATGCAACAACTAGAGAGTAACAAGGAATTGCAGTGCAGCAGTCACTGAGCCTTGAAGCAGTTAGGGCAGTCTGCTCTGTGGAGGACTGCAGACTGAAATCACACTTTGAGGTTTAAGATGACCTCCCTCACAGATTTGGCTTTCTTCCCAAAATTTAGCAGTGGCTGGACATTATTGTTATGAAAAACATGTGTAGGTATAGAAAACATTCGGGGGTAGCTGTGCTGGCCATTTAGCAAATTCAAACAAAAATCCATCA